CTGACCTTGGAGTCCTTTGTTTTCAGCCTGAAGATGGCAGGCTTCTTAATTTGTCCTTAGGCCACCTTCCCTTTATGTGTCTGATTAATGTCTTTTGTTGATACCAGTGAAATTGATTTATGGCCCAAGTACTGTGTCCAGTAAACATTCACTGTGAAGTAATCAAGGCTGAGACTTTTGAAATTTGTCAGAAGATATTTCCTACACATGTCTTGATTGTTGTGTTGCCTTTATAAAATTCTTGTTAACCAAATTGTGGCTGATTGAGAGTGATCATCTCTCTAGTATGTATTTACTTCGATGTCCAAATATGGAATTACAATGACTACAATTGCATGTCACATATTACTGCTTGGAGCGTACAATTAGATTCATCTCACCTACTTGAATGATTGGGTCTCCCAGGAAATAGTGACAATGACAAAGCAGGTCTCCAGAGACAATAAAAGATATTTTTCTTGAGTCTTGAGAAGAAAAAAATTTAGAGGATACAGGAAACTAGGTCTAGTTTATGTCTCCTGGCTAAGGCAACTCTACCACTTAGTAGAGTTTTTTAACATTTTATAGTTTAATGAATTAGGTTATCTAATGATAAGTAATGAAACTGGTTTTAGAATTAATTTTTGATTTGCTCATACTTTTTAAGAATTAGAAATGGAACCAATCTGATATAGGAATTGTGAAAACAAATATTATCTTTATATACTTTTTTCTTTCAAAATTGTTTCCAGATGTATTCATTTCATCATCCCCTATGACGAAGTACTGCTACAAATGAGTAAGGAAGTTGGTGTCCCCAATCAGTGACCTGGTTTCCAGAGGTACATGGCTTGGTATCTATGTGCTACACTAGTATAAGAAAAATAATCCCCAAGAATGAAAGTTGTCTTCAAATGCAAAAAAGTTTGCCATAAAATAACTAGGATAACTAAATTACAAAAGACATTTTAAGTCTGATCAATATTTTCATAGAACAATACTATAATTAGTGTTCTTATGCATGTATGTATGTATGCATGTATGTATGAATGGATATATGTATGCATTGACTCTTCCTATCATCTAAGCTATGTGACAAATAGTGTGTGTATTTGGAAGAGATTTAATCCAAGTATGTTTTCATCCTAGGAGAATCTTCCTGGAAAAACAGAAACAATAGTCCTCATGGAATTTTGTCTTAACTTAATCATCTGCTCTGATGTGTTCTGCTAAAGTTTTTGCTTGTCAGTTTCCTTATCCCTTTGCTATCAACAGAGCTTCTTCATTTCTTTAGGTACTTAATAACAGACATTTTTTTGTTGCTGTACTGTTTTCCCTCTGCCAAATTCTGATTCACTTTAGGAAATCAAAGAACAGACAGTTTTTTTTAGGTGAGACCTTCAGTTCTAGTGCAGAGAAATATGTCTTCACAGAGTCTTGACTTCAGGAGTCTGAGGGCATATGAAAACAGCAGTCTATGCTTAAGGAGGACTTGATCTTTAGTGACTAGATGCTAATTCTCTTGTGGAGAGTGGTGGCATATCATTATGCCTAAATCTGATTCAAAATTGCCTATTTTGAGGATACTAAGACTATTGGATTAAATCCAGTCAAGTAATTACTCTGACTTCATTTTACCTATGAAAACTCCTTATATTCTTATATTCTTAGTATCCAAATCTCACACAGTGGAGAGGAGGACTGAAGGTAAAGGCTGAATCATTTAAATTATTGGTAGGGAAAATTATACCCACAACTCTTTACTTCCTTCGTTTAAACCAATGCTTTTAGTCATTGTTAAATATTTGATTCTTGAAAACTCCAATCTTCTACTCTGAGTTCCATCTCACTTATCAGGTCTGGGAAAGGCTCAAAATCTGATTAATGTAGCAAAATCACTCATTAACTGCACAGCTAGGAAACCATATACACAATCTGCTTCCAGCATAGAGAGGTGGCACAGAAATAGAGAGGATTGAAATTCACCTTCTAGGAGAGACTATTCAGAATGAAGAGAAAGATCATGAACCTAAAGTAGTCTAAATATACGTTGGCAAATACCATCAGATTTTAGCACTAGAGAATTTTTGTAGTCTTTTTGGGATTTAGTTTTGGCAATTGGGGACAGCAATCGATCTGTTCAACATTTTTTTCCAGATGTTAATGTAATTTTTGTGCTTTTGTGTTTATCATCTCAGATATATCTTTGGCCTACTGCATTACACTTTATATATTTTGGAATTGAGGATTTTGATACAGGAACTCAACAGTGCCTCTTAGAATCATGACCGTTTTTCCCAGTTTTCATTGAGGTTATTTGACATTACCATCTCCAATCCCAAGGTTGTCTCCAAGAATAAATCAATTTTCAGAGTGAAAAGCCCACATCTTTTCCATAAACCATTACTTTGTAGTGTTCATGAGAAGCTATCAGTGATGAGCAGTGACTGCCAGTACATTCCAATTTTTTAGAAATTCATAGGCACAACGAGTCCTTAACATGTTCTGACATTTTATGGAGCTAGACAATTCCTTTACCTTTTCTCATGAGGTTCGTGCCATTAGGAAACTCATCTTTGGCGATGATACTAAAATCCATCATGTTGTTTTCTTTCATGACTTGGAAGGAGCTGTGCTTGCGGACTAGATCCAGCTCATCAGGCTCTAAGTTTTTCCCTAGAAAGTCACAGATCTTCTTTATTGTTCCCTTTGTATCCTAAACAAAGAAGAAACAAAAATAAGGGCAATAAACTGAGAGCTCTGAGAGAACAGATGCAAAGAAACGAACAGTAGGGCTGAAGAGAGGTTAAGAGCACTGACTGCTCTTCCAGAAGTCCTGAGTTCAATTCTCAGCAACCACATGGTGGCTCACAAACATTTGTAATATGATCTGATGCCCTCTTCTGGTGTGTTTGAAGACAGCAACAGTGTACTCACATACATTAAACAAATAAATCTTTATAAAAGAAAAAGAAGGGTTCTGTGGATGGGGATGAGAAAAAGGATGTGAAGAAAGAGCATCAGCAGATGAAAGAGCATGAATGGAGTTTTGTCAATAAAGACATTGGAACAAAGGCAAAAAGGACTCACAGTCAAAGTCTATATACTGAGTGAGGGCTTGCAATGTGGCTGATCTTTGTTTCCTAAAAAACAAAGACTGGGGCTTCTTTTTAGGTAGAAGAAGATACTAGAGATAGTGTTTCATAGAATCAAGGGTAAATTTTAACTTACTTTGTAGAGGATAATGACCTTGAACTTCAGACTCTCCTTCCTAATTCTCTGTAGTGCTGTGGTCACAGGTATGTGCCAACACAGTCACTAAGTATGCTCAGAGTTCTTTTCTTAAGACCAAACAACCAGTGCTTCCAGGATCTAAAACACCAGCCTGGGAGAACATTGTGACTGACCCATGGCTCCAGGGTATGTAGGCTGGATGACCTTGTCAGCCCAAAGCAGGAGAGGAAGTCCTGGCTCCCATGATGGCTCGATGCCCCAGTGTGT